CCTGTATGAGCGGGTTCGGTTGGGTCTGCTATTCATCCATACCCAGACCTCCGACGCCATCATCTTAAGATTCCTCGGGCTCGGAACTTTCGACCCCCCTCTTGTTGTTCGAGGCCTCCTGGCTGTGGGCAAGTAAAGGATAATGTCGGGCACGTCCCTCTACAAGGGGAATACTCAAAAATAGTAAACACTAAAATGGGAACGATTGCATTTGGTCTCATCGCTTGTGCATTCGCTTTCTCCCCTCCCGCTGCCTCTTCCCCTCAAGCCTTTCTGCCGTGAACAGTTCATGGTCGCCTGGGTGCACGCTGCAGGCGGGTGGGTTCTCGGGGCGCTCTCCGAGCGCTGGACTGGACCTGGCCGCAGCGGGCTCGCCGAGGTCTCCTGCCGCTGCGTGTTCGAGGGCTCGGACACGACCGACGGCCTGGTGGCCATCCTCCGGGAGCAGCTGGCACGCTGCGGCCCGGAGCACCTGCAGGGGGTCGCGTGCCAGCCCTGCCCTCCGTGCCCGCTCCCTCCTGGGCACTACACGGGGCTCGACCTCTGCGGCGCGGCCGTGGTGGGCGTGGCCCTTGGCGCTGGGCTGGCGACCGCGGCCTGGCTGGCGGCTGGATCGCCGGGTCGGCCGGCGGTGCGAGCGCGCGCCCTCGCCGTCGAGGACGACGCCGGCGGCACGCACGTGGCGACGCCGTCGGCTCTCGGGCGAGGCCGGCGGGCTCCTGGTGCTCGTGCTGACTGAGGGCCGCCATGGCCCGTGCGCTGGACACGCCGTTCAGCCAGTGCCTCGTCAGGTACGAGGACGACGAGAATTTCCAGTGGCATCACCGCGTGCTGCTGGTGAAGGGAGATGCTCAGAAGTGGATCTGGCTCACGCCGGACGGGGAGGTGGCCTTCGTCGACCTGGCCACCTTTCGAGTGCTGGCCCTTCGACGGTCGGGCCCTTTCCCAGCACGGCATGCTGGGAACATCTACGCCTTCGACGAGGTGGCGGCGGAGGACATGCAGGGCTACCTCGAGGAGGCCAGGGCCCTGGGCACGATCCTCGGCTTCGACCTCGCCGGCGTCGTGGGCCTCCCGGGGGACAAGTGGTACGTGAGCGACCCCACCTCGTCGCACTTCGGCGAGGAGGTGCCCCCCCAGGTCCTCGCCAACGAAGAGGTCCTGGTGCGTCGTGGGGATGTCGGGCTCGTTCGGCTCGACGACGTCTGGGTCCACGCGATCAAGGTGAGCGAGGGCCAAAACTTCGACACGTACCTGGCCCGAGCTCGCGGAGGCGCAGGCCGGGACCCGCGTGTCGTGGGCGACGAGAGGGACCAGGACGGAGGCAGGTACATCGACTTCCGGGACTCGGTCCGTCGTATGAAGGAGGCGACGATCCCAGGTTGGCCTCTGCAGGGCCGCCGTGCCACGAGGGAAGCTGTGCTCTCCCTTCGAGACGGGGGTCAGGGCAACTGGGAGGAGCACCACACCACGTGGCTCCGACGCAGCGGGGTGGCCGAGCGCGGCAACGTCGCCCGCGAGCACCACATGATCTGCGCGTCTCTTCGGATGATGCAGCAGTTCGACCAGCTCGACCTGTTCAACATTGCGGGCGCGGAGTACCTCGTCAGGCGGCTCAAGCAGCTGGAGTCGGCGACCCGCAAGAACCCTCGGGCGCCCGACTTCGAGGGGCTGGACCTCATCCTCGACACGGGGGTCGACGACACGGGCGGCATGGTGCTGCCGGAGTTCGACGGATGGGTTGGCGACCAGGCGCGGGCCCGCGCCCAGACCATGAAGGCGAATCGGCAGTGGCAGGAGGAGAGGACGGCCGCGCAGCCCAAGGCGCCCCCGAAGGGGCCGAAGGGCGGCGGGGCCGACGCTGGCAAGTAGCAGGGGGCCGGCCGGCCCCCTCCTTGGGCTGGGCGTCCTGCGGCGCCCCGCCCTGCCTGGCTGCCGCCGCGGGTTCCTCCGCCGCGGCCGCCTCCACGTCCTCCCCATGGCATCGGGATCACGCTCCTCGCACGGGGACCCGCTGCCGCTTTCGGTCCCGGGGCCTGGCCCGCCGGTCGACCTCAGCGGGGCGCCGCGGTACCTGCGCCAGCGGGTGCTCCAGCGTCGCTCTCGTGAACACCGTGTTCGTGAGGCAGTTCACTCGATCAACTGTCTCGCCGCCTGCACGGTGCGCCATCGTGGCCGCGGGCCAGGTGGCGCTGCCGATTCAGGGACTTCGGGTACGGCGACTTCGTCCTCGCGTGGCCGGCAGCTCGGCCGCTGCGTGGCGGAGTATGGCCCTCGCCCGGCAGATCTCCACCCTCGCGGAGCCCTTCAGGAGCTCCTCAAGTCCGACTCGCTCTACGGTGGCGCGCCGTCCAAGGTCGTCCCGTACGAGGGGTCCAAGCTCAAGTTCTGGCAGTCCTCGGTCACGCCTCGAGACGTGGAAGAGGTCTGCCCCAAGTTCGTCGTCGACGCCTTCCGCGACCCCGACGCCTACATCCGCAAGCCGGACCGCGTGGTGGAGCAGGACCTCGAGCTCCTGCCGCCGATCAAGCCGTACTGGGACGCGCGGCTTGCCAGCGACGCCGGCCTTCGTCGGGACTTCCCTCTCAGGCTCGCGGGGCGGGGGCTGGTCGGCTTCCGGAGACGGATCAGGTCACGCGCGGGGTGTTTCTTCGTCGAGAAGAAGAAGGGCGGCTGGATCCGCCTGGTCGTCGACGCTCGCGACACCAACCGCGCCCACTGGGCGCCCCCGCACGCCGCCCTCGGGACCCCGGCTGCCCTCAGCGAGCAGGACTGGTCCGATGCTGCGCTCTCGGACGCCGGGTGGGTTAGTGCTGATGGCTCGCCCCCTCAGATCTTCGGGTCGCCCCTCGACCTCCAGGACTCGTTCTACCAGTTCTTCTCGGAGCGCGTCGCGGAGGATTTCGGGATGGACTTTCCTGGGCGGGCCTCCTACTACCAGGTCTCCCACATCTGGACGCCCGACGGCCTGTCCCCTGTCGACCCCGACGAGCTCGTGTTCCCGGTCTTCCGCGGGGTGCCGATGGGGTGGTCATGGGCACTCTGGGCCGTGCACTCGTCCGTCACGTCCTGGGTCTCTGACACGCTGCCGGGGGGTGCCCGACGCCTGCTGCTTGACAAGCAGCCGGCTCCCGTCGCGGCGCCCTTCCGCCCCACAGGGTCGGTCTACGTGGACAACGTCTCGTTCCTGGGCCTCTCGAGCGACGACGTCGGGCAGGCGCTGCAGGCCGCGAAGGACAAGCTCGACTCGCTCGGCATCGCGTACCACGAGGTCGAGGGCCCGGCCACGCACTTCACCACCGTCGGCGTGGAGTACGACGGGAGGCGGAGGCGTCTGCGTCATTCCGATCACCGAGCCTGGCGCCTCTACTTGGCCTGTCAGGAGCTCGAGCGCCCTGGGGTTCCGCGCGCGGCCTGGCAGATCCGAGTGTTCCTCGGGCATTGTGTGCAGCACTGCCTGCTGCTGCGGCCGGCCCTCTCGATCTTCCGCCTGCTCTACCGCTTCGTGGACGCGCAGGGTCAGGGGCCTCCAGTCGCACTGTCTGCTGGGGCCCGTCGGGAGATCCAGCTCTTCAGGGGCCTCATCTTCCAGGCCGTCGTCTTCTTGGACCGGCCGATGTCCTCCCTGGTTTTGTGCCCCGACTCGTCCGAGGCAGGCTACGCCCTCCACCGCCGACGCGCTGACGTTCGACTCCTTCGGCAGCTGGCTGCTACCCGGGAGAGGTGGAGGTTCGTCCCCGACGAGAAGCGGCCCGACGCGGCGCTCGACGACGCCTTCTCCCCGGGCTGGGTGCCGGGCGCTGGAGGGGTGCTGGGGGAGCCGCCAGGCGCTACAGGCGTGGCCGTCTGGGCCCCCCCGCCTACGCGCTCGAGGGAGGGCGCCCGAGGCGTGCTCAAGGGCCGTCTCAGGCCCACCGTGCGACCTGCTGGCGCCTCCGTGCCCGACAGCCTCGTCGATCCCAGGGACTGGTCTCTCATCGTGGAGGGCGCCCGGCGCCGCGGCGGGCCCATTCACCTGCTGGAGGGCCGCATCGCCCTGGGGGGCCTGCGGCACGCCGCCCGGCAGGTCGACTGCCACGGCTCCCGAGTGCTCAGCCTGGGCGACAACATGTCGGAGCTCCTCTCCATCGAGAAGTGGCGGGCCGTGGACCTCGGCCTCGCTTGTCTGTGCCGGAGGGCCGCCGCCTACCAGATCGCCTGCGGGATCTCCTGGCGGCGCCGGCACCTCGACACGGACCGCAAGCTCAGCGACGCGGGGTCGAGGAAGGCGCTGCAGGGCGTCTACCGCCCTGGGCAGCGGCGGGTCGGCGGCAGGTCGGAGAGGCCCGCTCCGCCCGCGGGGTGCCCGCAGTCGGCGGCCCCGACGCCGGCCCCGGCGGCGCCCTCGGCGATCGCCAGCTGGCCAGTCGCCGAGGAGGCTCGCGAGCCTCCCCCCGCGGCGCGGCTGCGCGGCGGCCGACTGCAGTCCTGCCCGCCGCGGCCGCCGCCGCGGGCTCCTGGGGCCGCTGGCCGCTGCGGGCCGCGGCGCGCCCCACGGCCGCAAGAGGGGCCCGCAGCCGGCGCCCCTGGCCACCCTGCACGCAAGGCGACGTTCGACGAGGCCGAGGGGGCCCGCGAGCTGTCGCCGCCGGCGGCCTGCCCACGCGGGCGCCGCCCACGGCCGCGGCCAGTGCCTGCGCCGCGGCCAGCTGGGGCCCTCGGACGAGTTGGACGGAGACTCGTGCCGGGGCCTCGGCCCCTTTCTTCCGAGCGGGCCCCGCTACGTCTGGGCCGCTCCGGGCCGCGCACGCGCGTCGGGAGCGCGCCTCGCGGGCCGTCTGCCCTCGGGAGCCTTCGTTTGCATGCCCGGCCTGGCCGAAAATGGACGACAGAGCCTCCCGGGCTGCTGCCCCCTCCGCCCGCGCCGTTCGTCGCGGTCGAGCCGGTTCGTGATCCTGCACCTCGGCTTCGTGGACGTCGGGCGGCTCTCGAGATCTTCTCGGGGGGGGCTCGCTGGACAGGGGCTCTCGCGCAGCTCGGGCTGGCTGTCGCGGCTCCGATCGACATCAAGTTCGGGGGTTGGGGCGACCTGCTTCGGCCCAGCATCGAGACCGTCGTTCGCCAGTGGATCGTCTCTCGCAAGGTCTGGTTCGTGCACTTCGGGACTCCGTGCACTCCGTGGTCAGTTGCTCGCCGTGGGGCCAATGATACGTCTGCTATACGTGCCGGTCGGCGGTGTGCTCACGTCACTCTTCGTCTACTTCGGTTGTGCGTTCAGTTCGGCGTCAGGTGGTCCCTCGAGAACCCCCGGGGATCCCGGCTCTTCTCTTGGGAGCCTCTCCAGAAGTTCCTGTCCGAGCATAGCAAGGTCTCCGTGGTGTATGACTGCTGTCAGTTTGGAGCCCCGTACCAGAAGCCCACCAGGATTGAGTCTGACCTCCCCGAGCTCGGTATCCTTGCAAGGCGTTGTCTTGGAGGTCATGCCCACGAGCATCTTCAGGGGAAGGTCAAGGTCCGTGATCGCCAGGGTCGGCTCAAGCAGTTCTGGCGCACGACCCTGGCTGGCGCCTACCCTCCTGGTGTCTGCCACAGCGCCGCTCGGGCCTTGGCGCGCGCGGCGCCCGCGGGAGCCTGGCGACCTGATGGGGATCCACTGCTGCCCGGTCACTGGGAGGCTCAGCTCCGCCGCGCAGCCAAGATGGGCGACGACCAGCCGACCCTCGAGTGCCCCAGCTGCCCGAGGAAGTGGGTCGCGCTCTGGCCGCCCGACGCCGAGGGCTGGGGCCGCTTCGTCGGCCTCCCGCGGCCGCGGGCAAGGCCGAAGCCTCGGCAGAGGCCGGGCGTCGGGTGCCCGGGCCCGCCAGGTGCCCGCTGACTCCTCGCCGGGCTTCCTGCGGCGCTCGCAGGTGCGGCCGGCCACTCAGGCCCGCTACCTCGCCAGCGTCGTCGTGTTCGCCACGGCCATGGGCGTTGTCGCCGACCGCTGGGTGAGCAAAGACCTCCCCCTGGTGGACACGCTCCTCGAGGAGTACTTCGAGCAGCTCTACGTCGACGGCGGCAGCAAGAGCACGGCCCGCTACACCTTGGCCGCCTTGGCCTACCGTTTCAGCGTGTCGCTTCGTGCCCCAGGCGTCTTCCCGAAGGCGAAGGGCGCCCTCGCCGGCTGGGGCAAGCTCGAGCCGGACGTCACCTCGGAGCCGCTCTGCTGGGCGGCAGCGTGCTTGATGGCCCTGTACCTGGCCGGCCTCAACACGGAGATTGCCCTGCAGGCCGCCCGCGGCCTGGTGGTGCAGTTTGACACGCACCTGCGCCCTGGTGAGCTGCTGGACCTCCGCGTGCCCTGCTGCATCCTGCCGCAGCCGAGTGCCGGCTCAGGATACAACAAGATGGGGCTCGTCGTCGGTGCCTCCGCGCTGGTCATGGGTGACGACGTGCACACGCGCGTCACCAAGACTGGCCTCCAGGACGACACCGTGCTCATCGATGGCCAGTCTCGTGCGGGTGTGGCTGGCGCACTCATGGCCCTCGTCAAGAGCGCCAACCAAGCCCGCCAGGGGCGCCTCATGTTCCTCCACTCGTACGCTTCGTACAACCGCTTGCTCAAGAAGGCCGCCGTCGCCGTCGGCCTCCCGACCAAGGTCACGGCCCACCTCCCTCGGCACGGCGGTCCGTCGGAGGACTACCTGAGAGGCGCCCGTTCGCTGGCCGACATTCAGTCTCGCGGCAGGTGGTCGAGCTTCCGTTCTGTACAGCGCTATCAGAAGAGCGGCCGTGCTCTTGCATCCTTCAGACGCCTCTCGGCCGCTGTGAAGGCAGAGGCTAAGCGTGCTGAGGCCTTGCAGTTGTCCTTCCTCTCGTAGGGTGCCTCTCTGCGCTTAGCCTGCTGCAGTGTTCCCTCGGCAAGCCAATGGAGTCGATACGGGATTTACTCCAGCGTTTGATATGGGTTTGATTTCAGGTCTGGCCAGACTGTCAGATTTCTCGAGCTCCTCGGCCGCGTGGGCCAGGGGCTCTCAGTATTTCAGCTCTGCCGTCAGCCGCCATCGCAAGTGCACTCAGGTGTGGGCCTGAGCTCCGGCGCTGTAAAAGAAATGAAAGTCCTCGTCACGCCAGCTGTCTTTTTCCGTTAGGCTGACGCCGTTCCGAGTCTCTTGGGATCCACGCCCTGGGAGGGGTGTCCGTTCGAGATTGCATTGCATTTGGTCTCATCGCTTGTGCATTCGCTTTCTCCCCTCCCGCTGCCTCTTCCCCTCGAGCCTTTCTGCCGTCCCGCCCTTCCCACCCAGGGAAACGCTGGAGTGGAAGGCAAAGTAGCTTGGACTTCTGCGAATTCGGGTTTGATTTCAGGTCTGGCCAGACTGTCAGATTTCTCGAGCTCCTCGGCCGCGTGGGCCAGGGGCTCTCAGTATTTCAGCTCTGCCGTCAGCCGCCATCGCAAGTGCACTCAGGTGTGGGCCTGAGCTCCGGCGCTGTAAAAGAAATGAAAGTCCTCGTCACGCCAGCTGTCTTTTTCCGTTAGGCTGACGCCGTTCCGAGTCTCTTGGGATCCACGCCCTGGGAGGGGTGTCCGTTCAAGATTGCATTTTTTACATGAACAACACTTGTTGGCTACCTATACGACCACCCTTCGGGTGATAGGGAGGTTGTGGAGGGGGGGAAGAGGGGAGGAACCAACCTCTGACGCAATCGATCTCATTATCGATCTCATTCAACGGGACACCTCTGGACACCTCGGGGCACATCTCGATCTCATTATCGGTTTCAGTATCTATCTCACTATCGATCTCACTCAACGGGACACCACAGGACACCTCTGGGCACCACATCGATCTCACTATCTATCGATCTCAGTATCGATCCCACTCAACGGGACACGACGGGACACCACGGGACACCTGTCGATCCCATTTTCGATCTCACTATCGATCTCACTTTTTGGGACGCCGCGGGACACCTCGGGGCACCACATCTGTCTCAGTATCGATCTCACTATCGATTTCTCTCCACGGGACACCACGGGACACCTGCCGATCTCACCATCGATCTCACTATCGATTTCACTTCACGGGACACCACGGGACACCTCGGGACACCATATCGATCTCACTATCGATATCACTGTCGGTTTCATTCAACGGGACACGACGGGACACCACGGGACGCCTGTCGATCCCACGTTCGATCTCACTATCGATTTCACTTTTTGGGACACCACGGGACACCTCGGGGCACCACATTGATCTCAGTATCGATCTCAGTATCGATCTCACTATCCATCTCACCGTCGGCCTTACTATCGATTTCACTATCGATCTCACGATCGACCTCACTCAACGGGACACCACGGGACACCACGGGACACCGTGGGACACCGCGAGCCACCGCCGGGCGGACGGACGGACGGGCGGGCGGGGGAGAACGCCCTAGCAACGGCGGACACCACGGGACACCACGGGACACCAGGGACACCGCGAGCCACCGCAGGACCGACGGACGGACGGGGGACAATCATTTGTCATGACTTCGCCCTAGCAGCGGCGGACACCACGGGACACCACGGGACACCGCGGGACACCGCGGGCCACCGCCGGACGGACGGACGGACGGGGGATAATCATTTGTCTTGAATTCGCCTTTGCAACGGCGGACACCACGGGACACCACGGGACACCAGGGGACACCGCGGGACACCGCGGGCCTCCGCCGGACGGACGGACGGACGGAGGATAATCATTTTTCTTGAGTTCGCCTTAGCAGCGGCGGGTTCATTCCTCTCGCGCGCCCACGCAGCTTCGCTTCGCCTGCACGCGCGACACGAACGAAACAAAACAATTTCCCGTTTGGGGGTCTCCGTTCCATTGCGATCTCACGCCCCAACATCCGATGTTGGAATATTTTTGTGACTATATATTTGATTTGTCCTTCAAAATCCGCCTGTAGGGGGACATGCCCGACCTAAGTGTAGGAATCCAGGGAGGGCACGCTCCCTCGCAGCTTGTCCTCCCTAACGCCCTCCCTCCCGGCGCGCCAGTCTGGGCCCGTGTGCCGACCCGCCCTCGCGCTTTCATGCACAATCCGTCTGACCCAGCCGTTGGGGTCGGAGGAGGAGGAGAAGGAGGAGGAGGAAGAGGAGGAGGAGGAGGAGGAGGAAAAGGAGAAGGAGGAGGAGGCGGAGGAGGAAGAAGAGGAGGAGGAGGAGGAGGAGGAACAAAAAGGGGGCCGAGGAGTCCGCAGCGATACCGTCCCAAGGCTGGAATCATTTGCTCAGGACGTGTGCCGCCGGGCACGGGGGGATTCGCGGCCCCACAGGCTTCCCTGGCGTCCCCTCGCCGAGTTCATTTATGTTCCACACAAGGTCCGCTTACGGAATATGTCGTTTCCTGTTGCATTTCTGCAGTGATTCTTGCCCCTGCGTTCAGCAACCAACCTGGGGTCAAGGATGATGAAGGCGGCGTGGGTTTGATCACCACAGGCAACGGTACAAGTTGAGTTTGCTAATTTTTTTTGTTCGGTGTGTGGTTGTCGCAAGGATCTTGTTCATTACAAATGGCACAAACATTTTCATGTTCCGCTCGTTCACGTGCAGCCGAGTCCCCCCAAGGCTAGTGCAGGCAAGTGGGCAGCTTTGAGCAGCATCGGCGATTCGGCAGGCTCCCTTGTGCAGTGGCAGGTTCAGTAAAGTAAAGGTTACGGTAAGGGCAAGGTCTGTGGATCTTCCAAGTCAGAAGCTGGTGGGGACGGTCCACGATCATTGTCTCCAGGTCTCCAGTTCCCGTTCCGGGGCTTGCGGCAGCAGAAGGTACTACCTTGACAAAGTGAGTAATCGCGCAAACTTGGTGACACACCGTCGGCCCACTACTACGCTCAAGTTTCGAAGGTTCCTTCGGCTCCAAAGGATGTGGCCATTCCGCCCCACCAGCACATTCTGCACGCACAAACTGATGTCAAACAGAAAGGGCACAAGCTGGCACATGATCTCATGAAATATGTGAGTGGCGGGGTGAACTGGATGCTGAGAAAGAACCAGCTCTGAACCTCAAGGCTGAATTCGACTTGGCGGATGGAGAGTGTAAGTATGGGGTAAAACAGCTCTCCCCCGCAGCCCTCCCACAGGTCCAGCCTCAGGCGCCCGCTCTGGCTGACATCCAAGCGTTCGTCGACGGCAAGCTTTCGTGTGACGCGTTCTTGAACCTCCAAGGTCTCCTCGAGGTTCAGAAGGAAGTTGTAGACTCCGAGCTTGCCCCCGATGGTCAAGCTGAGTTGGTCGAGCGCAAAGCTACGATACCCAATGCCATCAAGGAGCTCGCTTCAAAGCTCCTCAAAGATGCTACCGAAGCAGCTTCTGCGGCCAGAGCCGAGCACGAGGCGCACAAGGTCAGACCCATTACAAAGAAGCGTTGCACAGAGGACGGCGTGGCCGCAGGTGGTGGGATGGCGGGCTCGGCTGATGGCGGTGGCGGTACTCAAGGTGGCAGCAGCACAGGCAGCGGCCCAGGTGCCCCTCCTCAGGCGCCGCTGTTCCCGTCGCACAGGCTGACGCTGGAGGTGGACAGGATGTCGGAGATCTAGCTGAGAAGGAGTTGCCGGCGGGCATCCCCCTTCGCGGCGCCAGCAGCTGCGCGAGGGGGCGCGGCGCCAATCGCGCTCGCCAAGCTGGTTGCCGCCGTCTCAGATTTCATGTGCGACTACGCAGAGCTCGGCTTCGCTACTTGCCTGCCTCGCTCTCGGGCCGGACTGCGCGCAAATGTGACCCTTCGCTGGAGAGACCTTTGGCGCGGGCCCAGCGAGGCCCCCCCGATCGCTGACCGCGATGCGATGCCTGCCGCCTGCGCCCTCAGGTTTGACCTCCTCGCGCACCCCCGGAAGCCGCGCGCCAAAGATCACCCCTGCCTGGGGCCGAGGTCACTCTTGCGTCTAGCCGACAGACTCGCGCGCCACGCGCGCGCGAGTCGATGCGGCCCTGTTGGGCCTCCAGAGACGGCTGCGCCCCAGCTGGCGTTGAACTCGCCGGCTGGGAATCAGCTGGAGGAGCCCTGCCGCGCGCGCGCTGGAGCTCGGCGCTGGCATCTGCTTCGTCTCAGACCGGGTTTGAGGTGGACGGGTGCTGCTAGCTCCCCCTGGGGGTTGGATTGGCGAGGCCTGGGGCTGGGGCCCATTTTGTCTTCGCGTTTCGATCGCGCGCGGGGGGCGCGACGCCTTTCTCCGGCCCCGTCGCGGCGTTGCGGGCCCAGCCGCGAGGGGGCCTTTGGGCCGCCGACGTTTTTTCCCTGGGTCTTTGGCTAGAGCCCCATGGAACTCAGAGTTCCCCCCCCGCGGCGCGATGGCGCGGGCGCGCGCGGGCCCGGCGGAGCCGATGGGGGCGCCCCCGCCTTTTGTTGCCGCGTCGAGCAGTCGAGCGCCTGGCCGCGCAACGCCGGGCCCTCCCTGGCACTTGGGGCCGCGCGTCGGCCAGGCCAGCCCGGGCGCGATCGCGCTGGACTCGCGCGCCCCTAACTGCCTCGACCCGAGCTTGCCGCTGCGATGTCGCATCCTCTTGGTGTCATGACACTGTCGCCCGCGCCGGGGCTGGTCGGCCAGTTGCGGGCGCGCGCCCTTCGATGGGCTTCAAAGACAGGCTGCCGATCTTTAAGCGTTGCTCCAAGTGTGCATGCCAGGGGGGGGGGTCGCGCCCTGGCCTCCCCCGCGCGCGCGCGCTGCGCCCGTTCCCCCGCCCCCTTGGCCCGGCGCCGCAGGCCCGAGGTCAGGTCAGAGGCGGCCTCTCCTCAGTCCAACGACGCCACCTTCCCCGTCATCTGCGTCGTCGACGAGAACGGCCGGGGCACTCTGCCGCGCC